ATTAAAAACCAAGTCATTTAGATGTTTATATTTCTCAAATTAATTTTCTTTGTGTTTTAGGATTTGGTAGAAGTTAAGTGTATTATTAATAACTTAGCCCATGAAATATTTTTTGAAAGGGTTCTCTGGTCACGACAAACCTTCCTAAATTTTATTGGATTTTTCTAAACAATATGCTAATTGTTATGATTAATTTATGCAAGTAATAGAAATAAACTTGAAAATATGCATCTCTGTATAGAGATCTTCTCTGACTTTGGAAAAATTAGAGAATGTTCCCCATGATAGAGGCAACAACATGCCAAAATATCAAGCCATGGTGAAATGCCTACATGCATGGAGAATTAAAAGACTCAAAATAGTATTTAATTAATTAAAAATAAAATATTCAACAAATAAACTTCAAACTATTTCCACATTGTTCTTCTCTGTTCACTGAGCACTATGATATTCTTATTTTATATTTATGATTTTTCTTCACCGAGATATGGATTTTTGAAGCTTTAGGAAATTAAATAAATCCTAAAATGTCTTATTTTTCTACTTAACCACTTCAACCTTGGCAGCGTCGAACGGGCCACGCGTCGAGCTTTGATTCAATGTGTTTCACATGGCAGGTGGTGCATTCACGGACCAAAACGCTGTCCAACTCCATCTGATCCGTCCATCCATGAATCGCGCGATCCGACGGCTGAGGGTCTTCGTCCCCAACTGGTGTGCATCGAGAACTATCCACCTTCTAACCCTGATTTCTCAGCCTAGACTCAACCAAATTGAGTGAGGTTTGTTTCTAAAGTCTCATCTAGCCTAGAGGAACACATCATACAGCTAACATGTTATGAAATCAAGTAGATAAGCATAGAGAGTAGATTTAAGCTCGGGAGGGGGGAAGATCCAATACCTTAGTCCGAGAGGTGAGGCCTCAATTGGATTGCTTCTAAACCTTTGTGTGGACTTCACGAAGCTCCTCTAAGTACCAATTTGAGCTCTTTTTGGGTCCAAGTATGAAATTGATCAAACTCGATTTGGGGTGTTGATCAAAGTCATGGTTAGGGTGGCCTGGTGAGGGAGCTTTGATGGGGGAACTTCCTCTCTCAATGTAGGGATGGTGTGGGTGAGTTTAATTTGATTTTGGTGGAGTTTTATGGAATTTTCTGTTTTTTCTCTAATTTTCAAGTTCAAAATTAGAGTTATACAGGGGAAATTAGGGTCATAGGACAGTGGAGCTGAGCTTCTCTATGCTGTGTGTAAAGTTTGGAGGCAATTGAACAGAGTTTTGTTGAGGTTGGTTTTGGCAGGTCTTTTAGCCATGGGGGATGGCTGTCTAAATAGGGGATCTATGGGGCTTCAATTGGGCTAGCCAGTGGGTTAGCCCCCTCGCTTGGATGGGAGATGGAAGGCAGAAGACCTCAAGTTTCCAATAGGATTGGGACAGCTTGGATAGGCTCAATTGGGTGTTTAACCACCTTTGGCCTCCTCAGGTTGGTGTTTTCCGGTGACCCAGGTGGTGGCTGGCCAGTGAGCAGTCACCTCTTGGCTCAGGGTGGCTAGGGGATGCTTAATTATGATTACCCCCATAGGCAAGCAATGATGGAAAAGATTTTTGGCTTAAGGCCCAAATATGGGCATAAATCCCTTAATTTAGGGACCCATTGGTCCATAACCTGGCTTGGTGGGTTTTACATGGGTTAGCTTGGTCCAAAGGAAGGGCGTAGTGGCTGTGGTGGTCTTTGGTTGGCCAATTTAACATGGCTAGGTTAATATTTGGTGAAGGGGTCCATGTAGGTCAATTTGGCCAAAGCTTGGGTTTGGGCTAGGCTAGCCATAACCCTGAGCCCAATTAATTGGTCAACGTTATGGGCTAGACTTGGGTCTAGATTGGGCTAGGTTTGGGCTAAGTTTAAATTGATTGTTGAAAATGGTCAATAGGAACATCATGAATAATTTTCAACATAAATTGACTGCCAATTTTGGGGCTAATGTAATCAATTTGATGGAATTTTGGGGTATAGCCAATTTGGGGTAAATTTGGGGCTTTTAGACTTAGGTCAAAATTAAATGAAATTGAGGCTTCAACAAGGCCAATTGAAGGTCAATTTTGATGTATAGGAGTGTTATGGAGAGTTTTCAATATAAATTGTGGCAAATTAAGTGGGCTATGAGTTCAAATTAGTGAGATTAGGTCATGTGGCCAAAATTGGGGGTTTGCCTTAGATCAAAATTGGGCTCAAAGCATGGGCCAATTAAACTTGAATTTGGTTTAGATTGGTCATATGAAAGGTGGATTTGAGTTTAAAATTGAAATTAGGGGAGATTGAGATCAAATTGATGGAAATTTAGGTAAGTTTGGGGAAATTGGGTCTTTAAAGGCAATTTGGGAGTTTTGATCAAAATGATCAAATTGGTCAAATTGGGTTCAATTGAAGGGTCCAAATTGGTTTTGGAGACATCTGGAGTGATTTTGGAAGTTTTGGGGGGAGTTTGGGGTGCCAAAGGCTTTTTTTTAATTTTGACAATTTTGGGGGTATTTTGGTAAGTTTGGAATCTTTGGGTGGTTTTGGGTAATTTGGGTATCTTCAAAAGGTCTGAAATGATTTTTGAACAATTTTTGGTATTTTGGGTGAATTTGGAAATTTTGGCCAAATTTAGGGTCCCAATGGTATTTAGGTAATTTGGGAGAGTTTAGGGGCAAAAGACCAAGTTGGGTATTTTGGGTAGAATTGGGGAGCTAATCACCATAAATGAGCTATGAACTAATGGAATTCCCATTTGGGTCCTCTATGTAATGGTCTTAACTAAACCCTAGCCTAGGGCCAGTGGGTTCAGGGGACCATCTACATGAGTCTCCCAAAGGATCAAGGGACCAAAGTCAAGAAATGTTGGGTTTAGGGTAGTGAGTGGTTGTGAGTGAGAGTCAGTGCAGGTGAGTGCCTTAGCTCTAAACCAACACCCAGGGTCAACCCTAAGGTCGAACTGACTGTCCTATAGGAACTCACCTTGAGCTCCCCCACATTGACCCTACCTATTAAGTGCTAGAGGTTAGGACCAATATGTGGAACTTCAAGTTGAGCAAAGAGGAGGGTAGAATTTCTAATAGTGAGGGTTCCTTTTCTAATTTTCTAGGAATAGTCAACAAGAAAGTCTTATGGCTAGACCCTAGGCTACTAGAGAGGAAAACTAAACCTCAAACAAAAGTGAGGTCAACATAACCCTTTGCCACTACCTTCCCAGCCTATAAACAGGTAGCCTTTGGCTCTCTCTAGGACATCCCAACTCTCTGATACTTCCTCAGACAACCTAAACAGAGGAGGAAGAAGGAAAACAATGCTCTGACAAAGTCTCCTCCTCTAGTCAGCCTTCTTTTTTTTGGTAAGCTTTCTACTTATTTACTTTTAATTTAAGTATTTTGATTCATAAGGCTTAAGTTGATTTTAGTCTAGTTAATCAACTCAATAGCCTTGGATTAGGCTTAGGTTTGGGATAAACTCAGGTAGACCCAAACCTAGCTTAACCCTTACCCATCTAAACCTGGTCTAATCTAGCCCAATCACAAAACCCAAATCCTAATCAAACCTTAGAGCTAATTTAACATAGGTCTAACCTTAAACTTAACCCATGTCTTACTTAACCTATGCCTAACCAAGTTAAGTCTTGACTCAACTCAGGTCAAACTCAAACTCTAACCTGACTTAGACCTGACTCAACTTAGATCTAACCCAAACCTTAAACCTAAGTCAGGTCTGACTCAATCCACACTAAACCTAGCTAAGACCAGAGTCACCCTATGTCTAATCCATCCAAAATCAAAATTAGCTTAACCCAAGTCAACCTAGTTTAACATGGGTCAACCAAGCTTAACCTGGGTCAACCTAAATCAAACTCAACTCAACATGAGTCAACCCAGCTTAACATGATCAACCCAACTCAAACCCAACTAAACACAGGTTGTCATAGCTTAAAACAGGTCAAATCAAACCAAACCTTATCTTGGGTTAACTAAATCAACCCAAACTTAACTTGAATCAATCATTATCAACCTAAGCCCAATCCAAGCCTAAACCAGTTGACTCAACCATAGTCCAAGCCTAGTCCAAGGCTAAGTATGTATGTTATTTTATGCTGTTTATGTTTTTTTTAAAGCACCATTATCGATCCCATGAGGAAAGTTGTAACTTTGTAATAATAAGTTAGAAAACTTATATTTAAATTGTAGATAAAAATGATAAGAGAATGATGTCAAAAGTTTTGTAAAGGGTTACAACTAATTTACGTGCAATCTAAATTTAAACAAAAATTAAGAACAAAGTTTAAACGACTAATAAGTTTAAAATAGTTTGAATGTAATGAAAATATATTTCCCCTTGCAAAGAGATCTTAATCAATGTAGGAATTGAATCATTAAAAATATAAAATGTTGTATTGTGACACATAGGAGCATACCTATTATTTAGCCTCTCTCGGTGCTAACAATGAACATTGACTAACCTTAAGTTTGTTCTAGCTTGTGTAGTAGTGTTGAGAGATTCTGGTCTCTCACTTCTAGATTACCCACTATGCCCTCTCTATAGGACCTACTAGGGACCCTTAGATCCAAATTCAAGATCCAATTGACAAAAGAATCTAGTCTATCACTTTAGAAACATCAATTCTACTCCCATCAAAACTCATCTCCCTATCTATTTGCACTTCCCCTTGGATGATTGTAATGACTCTGTCGGCACAATTTTTGGTGTGGGGTTTGCCCG